GAACAGCAGCTTCTCCAAAAGATAAAGAGTACTAAAATGTGTTTGGAGTTGGAGCTTATTCACATCCTGAAGCAGTTAGAAAAGGCTTTTAGTGATAAGAAAGCTAACATCTACCTATGCTATAACCATGCTAAACTAATGGCTTCAAAACTTGATTTACAGACTCACACACTTAATAAAGAGAAACTTCTCAACTATTTAGCTTACATCTATAAGAATTGTCACAACATTGGCTCAGTCAAGACTAATGATAGCATCTATCTCTGATTTCATTTAGCAAATAGACCAGCTAGAGCTGAAGATGCTTTAGATATTTACAAATTTAAATATCAGTCAATTATCTCTCTGATCACAAACATGAGAACATTTGACTTCAATCAATACATGTGAATAACTGGAGTTAACAAGTTCACCACCAGCAATCTTCAGAAGAAATGGGAAACAACTAGATCTGTTGTTATTTCTCAGCTAATGTGCTGGTGGAACAATAAGTTACAAGACACCACTACCACAGTACTCACCTGGGTCAATGGTGAATACAACATGTACTACTATCATCAGTAAATAATGGGAGGTCACAACAATTACAGATGGTTGAGAACAATATATCACAGTATTGGTCAATAACTTATGCACCAGAACCCTGTGTACTATCTATAATACATACTGACAAGACCTAATCATGCTTGGAAATTGATCTCCTATTCATACTATGCCAAGTATGCTAAGCCAGGGGATAAAACTGGGTTTTGCCATATTGATGTCAATGTTCCAGATGCTATTACCACTGGAAAGGGTGTTAAAATAATACAAGGATTCTTGATCTTAACTGCAGAAGAGCCCAGCAATTGTACAGAAATCTTGCTAGAAATGCATAATTATCTAGAGAATTGGTGAGAACTAGTTAAAGAACAAGGCTTATTTACTGATGGCTATATTCACTGCATTAAAGATACAATGTATACCAAGAATAATGAAAGAAAATTTAGTATTAGATGGACCAACATCATTTGCAAATCTGGTAATATCTGAATTACAAGCTCTCTGCTATTCCATAAAGCCCATAATCCATGCAAAAAGATCTGATGCACTATGCTACTCTGGTATGTGGCAATTCAAGAGGACCATGAACATCTAGAAGTCAATAAAGCTGGTACATGGTTCCAGCTCTCTGCTGCATATAGAGATCTAGTTCCAGGGCCTTTGTCTCCATCCAGTCATTCAAATTATTATGCATCAGTTCCATATTGATTCCCTACCACTATTCAATTACAAGACTTAGGAGCTATATTAGATGCCCTGGTAGAATGAATTAGGTGGGACAACCCTATGGTAATTAAGAAACTTGATATTCTCTTTGGCCCTGATGACAAAAAGACTCAGAACTTCATTAATAACTAGTATCTAAAGGCCATGTGAATTGCTCTGAATTATCAAGACTTACCAAATTAAAAAGAAAGCTTTTGGTAATAAATTCTATTGGCATTGCATGCACAATAATATTGACTCAGTATCAGTTCAGTCTTCTCCTCCTCTCAAGAACTTGGTGGAAGAAGAGAATTATAGTGATTACTATTAGAGATTACTGTTATCACTTTTCTTATTCTTATTTTCTATATTTTTTCTTACCAGACTGCTCATTACTATTTATTATTCTCTTATTTTACTAAATTAATTTTATTTTATTTTATATGTTGTTTGTTGTCAGAGAATGCCAACATTGAAGGCCAGGAGAAAATGTAGTGGAGATTCTAGTATCTTATTAGGACAAAGATTGTTCCAGTCCAAGGTGCAAACCACTCCAAAGCTACTATTCTTGAGCTATATAAACCACCTGTAGCTCCTGCATCTGGCTTATTATCTTCACACACCATTGCTCTTTTCTACACACTCATTTCTTACTACCAGTTCAGTTATTAGTTAGAGAATATGAAGGTTTCTTGTTTATGAAACTTGCTACTGTTTCTTATTAGATCTGCCTGTGTTAGTATGGAGCTCTTTAGTACTATTACTCCTTGCAAGCTTAGGCATCTGTTAGAACATATTTATCTCTACACTTACTACTCAACCATACCCTTACTATGTGGTGATTTTTCACCTTTCTTGTGCTCTCACCATATCAACCAACTTGCCTACTTTGACAAGGCATCCCATCATACCCCGCTCCAGTAAGAGTTTAGACAGTTTATATAGCTCAAAAATAGTAGCTTTAGAGAAGAGAGGAAAGGGGAAAGAGGAAGAAGTAGCAAGAGAAGAGGGAGAAGAAAAGTAGCATCTAAACAACCTTGGTTCTAATATAGTACTAGAGTTTCCACTACAATATTTTGAGATGTAAATGCAAGATAAGCTTTTTTAGTACTGTCTCTTATAATTCTGTTTCTTCTTATTCTTCAGTTCATAAGCATCTATTTTATAAAGTGAAAGAAAAAAATAATATATAATATTATAGGCCAAGCTAAAGTTACTAGCTAATACTCTATATATACAAATATATTACTTGAAGAAGAAAAAAGAAAGATGGTAGATAAGTGTATGTACAATACATACACAATATTTATATATGACAGTAAACCAAAAGAAAAAGTAAATACTAGGCCAAAGAGAGAATAGTATAGAAATCTCTTACATAGCATGTTATTAGAGAGCTTGTCAAACTAGATATGATCTAGTAGAGAGACAATAAAATATATTCATATTGGTCTGACTCTTCTATCTAAGGATGATCTTTATAAGTAAATAACAACCTTTGGTCACATGACTAACAACTTTGTGTGGGAAAAGCATACAAACTCAGGTAGCTGAGTTGCTGACTAATGACCTAAGTAAGAGATATATAGATCTCAATCTGGTAGTTGATACTAAGATTATCAAGGTTGAACTTTATAATCCAACAAGGCTTGACCTGAGATTCTGAGCACAGCATGGCATTGAGGACTTGGCCTGAGAAGAATAAAGATTCAACTTTACACTAATCAGTAATCTTCTATTACTGTAGTTGTACTAGTTTATTGATTGATCAGATTGATGATGACAGAAACTTCCAAGAGATCTCTTGTGCAGCTGTCATACTATTGTCTGTATGCCAGTGTGAATTACAACAGTAAAGAAGATCTGCAAATAGGTAATTCCACTGAACCATCTTCTGCTAGCAAGAGAATCTGCACTAGCAAGAGTGAAGAGAATCTGACACTGACGGACAAGAATGCTTGCAGAAAAGATATTAGTAGAATCTATATCTGAAAAAGGCTGCTTGAAACACATTGGTTTTACCCAGTCACACCAAGAGTTGTTTGAGTATATTTCAGGCCCTGCCTGGAGTTGGCATTCTCACTGGTCCAAAGAAAAGGTAAGAGAGGGGACAAGGCTTGACCTTGGTCAGAGGTGATGAGGTATTCTTGAAGCAGTATCCAGGGAGAAGCTGAGGCGCGATACAGGTTTACTGGTGTACAACTCTCAACAAGAAAGCAGGTTGATGCTTTTCAAAAACACTGGTTTTTTTAGTTATCTCCTGTCATGTATGAACTAATAACATGTGGCAAGCGGTCTTATTATCTTATCCACCAATGATTTAAATTACCACTTAATCCTTTGGCTTGCATGCTTCCAAACTCATCATCTGGTGCTTCGCACACCAGCTGTGTCATGCTGACAAGTGAGGTTTCATTTCTATCGGCAAAGCAGTGACCTACCTGCATGAGATAATGTGGCACGCACCACCAGGGGGTTGATTTGGACAAGCCAGCGAGCATCAGGTTGATCTGATAGCAACTCCAGCAACTCGCATGCAGAATCAATGCAGATACCAGTAATTTGCTGTGGACTGAGCTGGGGGAATTCAGGGTTGTAGTTGTGCTTCAGCTTCACATGGGCTTGTAATTTGAGTTCAAACAACTTGCCTTGCGAGATTATTCTAGTGACTGTATCTAGTGATAACATCTAATAGCCTCTTCCATGCGTGCAAGTTCAGTGTACCCTAGTATAGTCTTATAGTAAACTTAACCCTTCTTGTCTCTTGGTAATTGGACTGTTATCTCCACAGAGGGGTAATTTAGGAAACCTTGCCTTTCCTAGATATATGCCTGGGCGAGGGGTGATAAGGGTGTTTTCTTGGACTTGATATCTCTTGAAATTGCTGCACGTGCCTGTGGCTTGGGCGCTCGCCCAAGGGGCTGCTGATAGGATACTCCACTTCTATCATGTTGATTTCCAAGGAAATTGCCGCGAAATCAGCAGGCGGTCAAGGGTTGAGTCATTGTGGCTTGGCTCTCGGCGCAGAGGTCTGACACTTGGGATGAAAATAGATTATTAAGAGTCAACAGGGCTTCGGGGAGTATATACATCCAAGATTTCTCACATGTTCACCACCAACAACCCGGGTCAGTCGCCTTGCGGTACCTGGATCCCTCAGCTGGCCCGCAAAGTTGGACTTCCGCCGAGGCCCCTGGGATATAGTAAAGGATTACGAACGGGCTACTGGAGTGTGAGAGGCCTATCAGAAACAGAGAGCAATGCCGCAATCACCGATTGGAATTCACTATTCCGGGACTTACCAACCGTCCCGGTAAGCTAAGCTTTTTGCGACCGAGAGCTAACTACCTTAAACTGACTGATTCCCTACTGCCCTAGGACGAGGCCATAGTAGCGTCTTGCATCTGGCATGACAATTTCCATGTCAACAATGTCTTTGAACTGGTGATAAGATATTTTGTTCCGGCCGCGTCGATCTCCTAGGAAATTGCCGCGCAAGCAACGGACGGTCAAGGATTGCCTTTGCGAAATTGAGACAAGTCTGCAGAAGATAGGATCGGCACGAGCTGAAGACAAGCTGAATTCAAAAACCTTCTCTGCTAGCATTCAGATGCAGTTGTCGATCCTGGACCTGCCCTCCACTTTTCGTTTCCCTTCTCACGAGTCCCAGCTCAAGGGAGAGTAGGAAGAATGACAGTTTGGCTGGCGGAGCCCACTGGGCGCAGACCATACCCGTTGGGCGCGCAGCCTGATTATTTGATGTAATCCTCCTCACAAAAGTCATCGAAAATCCAATTTTCTTCAATTCTAGCTCTCTCCTCCTTTGTTTCAGCAGCATCAAGAGCGTCCGCTTTTAATTTTCTCTCGCGTCCCTTTGCTTCGTCGTAGTATGCAACGGGCACCCATCCCTCATTTGCAACTCCAATTGCTTCTTGGCAAGCCTGAAATTGTTCATCAGCGTCGGATTGTTCACGTGCCAGTCGCAGACATTCGCTCGACTCGTCGCCTGAAAAGAAGATTGGGCAAGGTGTTCTCGCATCACGGTTTGCTCCTCCCCAATTTCTCGACAGTGTAACTAAATCCGCTTTCAAGGTCATATTATCACCCTCCCAAGGGTCACTGGCATGGTGAAAAATCCGCCGCCTTAAGGCGCTCAAATGATAGGTCAAGGCATCATAGTGCTCAGGGTTCTTATCCGCAGTCAATTTGACGTAGAGATAGTGCAGTTGACGCTTGCGGAAAATTTCCGCATGTTGGAACCGTTGTATCTCCTCTAATTCATCGAAATTCCTTGGTAAAGTAGGGGTTTGTAGTGATTCCGAGATCTCGTCACCATAATTCTGGAGACTTTGTGGGATGCCGCATTGCAGAAATAATGGGAGAACCGTACTATGCTGCCAATCGATTAACCCTTTGATTTCTAGGTCACTGGAAACAAATATGTTGTTGGGTTGAAGATCAGGATGTCGTAAGACCGGACGATGAAGGGCAGGACAATCCCGCGGTATGAGGTGAGGCGCAATTTGAAGGTATTTCTCCAGATTCACAATATGTTCGAGGTGGGATTGGGCCTGGTAATTGTACATCTCTCTGCGAAGTCGCTGAAATGGCTGAAGAGGTCGTCCAAATCTTTTGAGATATGCAATCTCTTTTGTGGCCCCGGCGGTGAGAACTGCCAAAGAATCCCGGTCTTCCCAGAGTTAACCGCCAACGTCTTCTGCATTTGGATATTTCAATCCGAAGGATACTTACATGGCCCGCGCTCAACGGATAAGTTGAGTCTTTTCCCGAACCATAAACCAAGCGAAGTATCGGGGCCGATACAGAAGCGGCGGGTCGAGCTGGGGCTTGGAACAGTGACTGGGTAGTCATGGGCTGGCAGGTCATCGTAGTAATAGAGACTTCCACTTGCTGGAAACCGTAGACCAAATAGACGAGACTCTAGCTCCACGAGCTTTGTGACCAGCGTTATCCTCTCCTGTTCAGACAAAGTAAACCAGATATCACCTAGATTTTGTCCTTGGACAAGTTCCATGAAGATGTATTCTGTACCTGCAGAGTTATCTGCAACGGCAGAGTAACCAAAAATCTTAGGAACTGGAATGCCATGGGAACGGAGAAAATCTATCGTTGCGACTTCACTTGCGACCACTAGGAATTTTGGTTCGGTGACAGGGTAAGGGATTCGCGCAACAAATTGGAAGCCATTTCGCATGGTGATCTTAAAACTTCGGTTGAATCCTCCTTCGGCAAGCTTCTCGAAGCCAGTGACGTCGTCTTCCTTCTGCTGAACCGCTAGGGCAGCAAGGCGCTTCAATTCAGAGACGTTGAAAGCACGTCTCGTCTCGCGATGTCTCAACGCGTCATTATAGCTGAATTTGGACATCAGTTGAGCAGTTTAATAGGAAGGAGTCCCTAGCCCGCAACATACATCCATCGTCCGGTCGTGTACTCGAACAAGTCACAAGGTTCGGGCATCTTTTGGACTGCCGAAAGAGCACGAGTGGGTGCTAAGCTTGGTTCGTGGAGGGCTGGGCATAACTGAAAAATACTAGAGAATATTGTGCCACGTAAATGCTTAGCCATGGCTGGATGAAGCGAAGAGGCAGTGGGAGAGAGTGGGCAAGCAAGGCTTTTTATAAGCACCTATGGCTCTTGATGCTCAGGGAAGTGTCTTAGGTAAGGTGGCTCACCACTCAACAAGCCAAACCACTCAACAAGCCAAATTTTCGCACCATCAAATTTCTTCAACACTCAACTTCATTATACAATAGCATGGTCAACAACAAAGCAATTAAGCTTGCAATTAAAGATCTTGAATCACAAGAGACTCCAAATTACAGTGCAACCACAAAAAAATATTCATTCAGTCAAGAGACCCTGTGCTGGTAGTATCAAGACCTACAAGTTAATCATCATAAAGCAACCTCCAGACATAAGAAGAAGCTCACCAATATACAGAAGAATGAGCTTCTAGAGTATATAAACAAGCTCTGTAACCACAGTCTTACTTCTACATCTCAAATCCTTCAAAATATTGTGCAAGAGATGACAGGAGAGGACATGGGAATTAACTGAATGACACAGTTTTGTGAGCACCACAAGAACAAGATCAAGACTGTTTATCTCAAGTCACTTGACAAGAATAGACAGATAGCAGATAATTATCACTGCTTTCAGCACTTCTATAGTCTTGTAATTTGATGCTTTTTTTTGCTTCTTTGCAAGTGCAGTTGTTGAATTTGACTAACTTGTTGAGTGCTTGCACTGCTGTATTTAGTTGAGCAAGAAAATCAGCCAGTATAATATTACACTAGAAAACACATACAACTTTAATAAAAAAGAATTCCTTCTAGACTCCTGTCATGCCTCAAAGCACCTTATCTCTATTAAAGCTCTACAAGCTGATAAAAGTGTTGTAATTCAGAATAGAAGCTGGGAATTTCTCTCACTACTCTGTTCAGTCTCTGCAGATGAGATTACATTACCTCCAGCTCTTATTTATCAGAGTGAATCCAGAGATTCTCAGAATACATGGCTGGATGATTTTGACAGAAGCAAATATATCTATTTTGCAGTCTCAGTAAACAGCTGGAGCAATAATGAATATGGCCTAGAGTGGTTGCAATAGATTTTTAATCCACATACAAAGGCAAAAGCAGATAGGGCAAGATATCTGCTTCTACTAGATGGGCATTCTTCCCATATAAATATGAAATTTATTGAATATGCAAACTGTGAAAGAATCCTGCTGTTGATTCTTCCACTGCACTCTACCCACCATTTACAGTCTCTTGATGTTGGTGTTTTTGGGCCACTGGGCAAGGCATATTCCAGCAAGCTGGAATCCCTACTACACTATGAACTGGACTATATTCAAATGACAAAAAGGGATTTCTGGAGACTATTCAATGCAGCATGGAAGAAGGCTTTGATGGATGACAATATACATGCTGGCTTTGCAAAGACTGGCATTTATTCCCTGGATCCCCAGCATCAACTAAGCTAATTTGAAACTGCTGATCAACAAGACCCTGCACCACTAGTTGAGCCTTCCATTCCTACAAATATACAGGAGCTTTGTCAAGAGATTAAGGGTATTCATCTTTGGCACAGCTTAAATTTGCAGAGTATTGGACAGGTTATTAAAGTCAGCAAGCAATTTGTAATACAAAATGAACTGCTAGAGCATGAAAATCAGACTCTAAAATTGACTATCATGATGGAGAAACAGTGCTGCAAGCAAGACAAGCCCCTAGGCCTACTTGATTGTGATAATTTGAGCCAGGCCCAGTTCTGGAGTCCTACAAAAGTTCTGCAGGCTCAGGAACACCAGAATGAAATAGAGGCTGAGAAAGCTCATAAAATTGCTCAAACACAAGAGATAAAGCTTCAACAGAAACTCCAAAGAGAGCAGACAGCTAGAGAGACTGAAGAAAAACAGATTAAACAAGAGACTGCCTGTATGAAGATCTGCAAGCAATAAGAGACTGAAAAGCTTGAATATGCTATACAACAAGAGGCTCAGCATGTTGCCTGTGAGGAGAAAAAGGCTTTACAACAAGCAGAGAAGAAGAGACAGACTGTTAAACATGCTAGTAAACACTGGCAGTCAGAGCTTCAAGTACTAGCTTCAAAGCACTGTTGGCAGGGCCTTCCTATAAAAGAACCTTGTCATGGCAAGCCTATACAATCTTCCCAAAGCAGTAGTAAGAGCTTTACTAGCCTCCCTAACAAGCCTTTAGGCTCTCTAGCTGAGAAATCTACTGCTGACATTCCTTTACAATCTTTCCTATCCACCCCCCATATCTCTCACTCTGGCCGCAATATCAGGCCGTCCACATGTTTATTTTCATAGCCACACTAATTTCTATGCTTTAAAGAACACACTCATTTAATATTTAATAGCTAGTTTAATAATAATAATTCGTTGTTGAGATAATTAATAAATTCGTAGCATGGAGCATTGGAAGGAATTTGGCTCGTTGAGTGGTTTGGCTCATTGAGTGGTGAGCCACCTTAGTTAATGACTGCGGACGTAAGTTACCGTAACTAACTAACCGCTTACGGTATGCCGTTGACCTGCTGTGATTATGACCTCCGCAAAGACAACCAAAAATAGTTTGTTGCATGTATTATCATTGTCCCTACAAGCCTGATGAAATACCTAACCATAGTTTCAAATGAGGAACCCTTCAGTTCTGGACTGAGGCTGCGGCTTCGTTTAACCCCTTCTCAACATCTTCCTTCGACCCATCCTTTTTAACCAGGGCATTAGCCATCACAGCGTGGGTTCCACCATGACTTTCTCTCCATCTTTTGATAGAAGACGGGACTTTCCAGCGTTCGGTTGCATCTGGAACTTATGGTAAACCTCATCTCCTTCTGTAACCTCCCCATCATAGTCCCATCTGACCCCGAGCCGTTCTTGCTCCGCTTGACCCTTCGGCAAGGCTGTTCTCCCCCCCCCCCCCAGCGGTTGGGTTCGTGAATTTTCTCCAGGCTTGTCCTTCGACAGCCTTGCCGACAGCACTTTTAAGTGCTTTCTGCATCGTGGTATTGATTAACCAGGTACAAAGCACTTTTCTGCGGGGAGAACATACTTGTTCGCGTAATAGAAAGAGAGACGAGCTCAATAGCTATTCAGGTTCGCAGTATCAGCCTTTTTAAGGAGGAACTTTCAGAGAGGTAATAATTTTGTGATTGCAAGGCTTTGGGGATAGAAGCGGGTATAGAAGAACCTCAAGCAACTCTACATTAGACGGCAAAACCTACCTTATTTATAATGCTCGTGCTTTGAGCTCGGTGCTTCAGATGGGAAGCCCCCCGCATGAGCAAAGGAAAGCGCTAAACTTGCGGAATATCTTGTACTCTAGACGCCGAGAAAGGTAGGGTCCGGTCAGACAAGAACAACCTACATCCCATCGGCATTCCCCAGTAATAGATCGCATAACGTCAGGAGCGCCCCGTAGCATCCCAGAAGGCCGCTACAAATGGCAGGGCCTCACTCCGCCCTTGCCCATTGTATTTGCGATGCTGGTCGAACTCCGACATTTAGCCCAACCGAGCTTGTTGGTCAACATCCAGCGTTAATGTGAGTCTCCATGTCTCGGAAGGACCTACGAGGCTACTAACCATATGCGGAAGCTATAGGAACCACGGAACGTGAACTCAATAGATGTGCGTGCCCTCGCTCCTCTCATCCAAAGGATTGTGGGATGAGAAGTGAGATGAAAACTCTGCATCAGATCAAAGAAGATCCAAGCTGCTAAGCTGGAGACTAACTACATAGAGACTAGTGTCTTGACACTGCCCCCTAGGCTCCAGTGAGTACTGGGAGAAGACAAATTTCTAAATACATAAATCCAACAAATCCAGGATCCAAGCTGATTCAATAATCAAATGAGTGGAATATTTGTTAGTAAATGATAAGCAGAAGTCCAAATTGGAGGTTGAGCTCCAAATCTGTTGCTGGTGTAATATTGTTGTGCAGTCTACTTGCATGCCATAATTAAGTGTCATAAGATCTACATAAGCCTTCCAACTGAAACAGAAAGAAAAGACTTTGTCTGCAGACTTCAGCAAGCTCTGTACAGACTTCAGCAAGCAGGACATTTTTGACAGAAGATCTTCACAAAAGCTCTCATGAAGATTGATTTAAAGCCACTAAAGAATACAGATTCATGTGTATTTATAGATGAAGAGTCTGGCCTGCTACTAATAATCTATATTGATGATGCTCTTATTACTGCTTCTATAAAAGAAACTGTCACTAATTTCAAAAACAAGCTGTCTGACTGCTTCCCTATAAAATCTCTAGATAAACTGTTGAGATTCCTAGGTTGCAAAATTAAACAAGATTGTATGAAGTAAATAATCTATCTTTTTCAAGAATTATATGTTCAAAAGATTCTTGCCAAATTCTACATAAGTGGCTCAACAATCCAGATCATCTCTATAGCAGAAGAAGTACAGCTTACACAGGAGTCTGAGTCTAGTTCAGTAGTTGCTGAAAGCATTATAAACTGGCTGCAACAGCTTCTTGAAGCTCTTAATTAGCTCTTGATAAAGAGCTGTTCTGATATTACATTGGCTGTCAACAAACTCCAACAATTTGCTATAAAGCCAACACTAGAGCACCTAGAATATAGTAAATGAATACTGCATTATTTGAAAGAATCTCCCATACTAGATCTAACTCTTGAAGACACCCTGAAGCCTGGAATCCCAGAATTACAAGTCTATATAGATGCTAGTCACCAAGACTACAAGGAAGAATGCTTAACAGAAGCATATATATTATTTTATATGGGAACTCTCATTGCATGGAGCTTAAAATGCCAAAAGATTGTCACACTATCAAGCACAATAGCAGAATTTTGCACTCTTGATTCTGCTGTGAAGAAAGCACTCTGAATTCAGAAGCTCTTACAAGATCTCAATCTTCCAGCAAAAGCTCTAATTTCTATATATATGAA